CCCCCCCGCCGCTGGCCCCTCCCGCGCAGGAGGTCCGCGACGGCCCGCTCTGGCCGCCGGCCTGCTGGCCTGGTCATCAGCTCATCAGGTCGCTTGGCTCGGCCTGGGCTAATTTGGGGGACGCGCGCGCGTGCGCCGGGCGCGGGCCTGGGCCTGGCCCGGATGGGCTTTGCACCCACTCTGTGCGAGACACCCCCCTCGGTACCCCACCTCTCTTTATTCCTCACCACCCCAACACCTCGCGCCATGTCTCTGCTATTTCTCTAACATCCCTCCCGCAGCCAACGCAACTCCCCCCCCCCCCTTCCCCACCCTACCCCCGAGCTCTTGATGCTGTGGTCCACGGAAAGGGGAAGGGTGGAGCGAGCGGAGGGGGACTCGCCCCGTCCCACCGCCACGATGCTGTCGTCGCGAAGGTGCTTGTTGTTGTGTGGGTGCCCCCCCCCCTCCCCCGACCTCTTCCTCTCTCATCGCCCGCGTCGCCCCCACCTCGTCCGCTCAGCAGGTGTTAGCTGGTGGCTGTACAGCACCTCAGCCTCAGCACCTCGCCTCGCCTCGCCCTACCCCGCCCCACCCACCTCGCCCCGCCGCGACAAGCTCGTGATTGTCTCAAGCTCGTCGGCGGCGGCGCCGCCGCGACGCTCTTTAACGCCCCACCCCGCCCTTCCCCGCCCCGCCCCGCCCCTGGACGGCCGGTTCCGGCCCGCCGCGCCGCGGGCAGCGTCCTTGTGGTCCGGCCGGGCGGGCGGGCGGGCCGGGCCGCCAGCGCCGGTGAGCCCATTGAGCGGGCGCGGGCCCGGTGACGCGGGGCGTGGCGCGGGACGCCCAAGTCATGACTCAGCAGCGCCTCCCGCAGACTGGCATCATGGAGCTAGAGCGCCAGCGCCCCAACAACGCCCGGCCCATCCGCGCGCCATTGTCAGCGTCCTGGCGCCCGCCGCCCGCGGGTCCAGAGCGCGCCCCTCGCCGGCGTCCTCGTCCGCCGCGCCGCAGCTCACCGGACACACAAGTACAGCACGCTGCCCCCCGCTCCCGCTGGCCGCCGCTGCTGCCAGGCCAGGACGCACGGCTGGCGGACGCTAAGACACGCGCCCACGTACAAAACCAACAGCACAATTAAATTTTTTTCGGGGCCTCGTGATGTTTTTCGTGACGGCCACGACGGCCCCCGGGGCCGCTGCTGCCCGGCCCAGGCCTGGCCGGCTCTCCTTGCTCTCCCGCGCTCGTCCTTTCCTTGTCGGTGCAAGCGCCCCGCCGCCACCACCGCGCCGCCCTTCTGTCCGCCAAACGGAATATGATATACGCCGCCCTGGCCGCCGCACTGTCCAGG